ATTCCAAATATTCAATTTCTTCATCTATGTGTCAGTTACATAGAGAATTGTTACATGACTATAAATTATATATTTTACTTTGCCAAATAAAATAAATTTGCTGTTAGTTGCCATTAAAAATCATTTTAAATAGAAAAAGCAAGTTGATACAATACAAGTAAATCCTTTATATATAAATTTATATAAATATACAAATGACTTTCCTTTTCAATGATGTATTGTGATGCTGATCAGCTCAGTTTAAAATATTTGACAAAACAAAGGTTATCCTGGAAAGCTCAATGCCTAAATGAAGAAAAATAAATGGACGTGAATCAAACTTTTTGAGAACTCTAGGAAACACCTTTTGAAAAAGTTTTAGTCATTTTGTCTTGATTCTGGGAGAAAGGGTTAGGTTTATCAATTAAACTTTTCTGAAACATTATGCAAAATCAAATATATAGAATGCAAACTCATCTCAGAGTGTGAGTGTGATAGTCCTAAAATTGCCCTTTCCACTGGGATGGTCCAAGCTTCAGAGATCAGGACCCTGAAAGGAACAGGAGGTGGGGAGGGAAGCAGGATAACCTGAGCATAGAGTAGAGCTTCCTGTAGAACAAAAGGACAGGTCAAGTTGACTGAGGTCACTCCTGAAGCCAAATTGAATATTAAAACCCCAGTTCCCTTTCTGCCTCCACTTCACACCAAAGTAAACTAACAAGAGGACAAACAACTGCCCAACCTCATACTCATACAGAAATAGCTACAAGTAAAGCACTATACATGCCTTACAAACAAGGAACACGTCAACATAAGATGCAAAAGCAAAATGAGAAGGGCAGAACTCCTGGGAAACAGAAATAGAGAAGGCAGATAAGCAGTCACAGATCTCAGAAAGGAGATCCATTAACAAAGGAAGTTCTTCACTAAGTAGACAGAATGTATGAAAAGATGACAATAAGCAATTCTGAATGAAATGCAAACGAACTTAGTGTTTTAAATAGACTCAAAATGGCGAAGAATTTCATCTGTAAAAGACTCAAACGAACACATTTAGAAGAGAGCATTAAGAGGAAGGAAAAATGAAGAAACTATAAGAATTATCAGACTCAATTAGAAATCAGAAATATTTAGCTAAAATAACATTTTTTCTGGATTAGGTAATCATATATGATGCAATGGTTCTCAAGTTTTGAGAAGTGAGTTAAAAATGGGAGTTAAGACTTACTTTAACTCATTCTGAAATTTAACATTAGGACCAATAGGTGAAAGCTTCAAGACACAAATTTTGCATGAGACATAACTAAATTTAGAATTGGCAGTAACTCAAAATGCAATGGGTCTTTTATAATGCCATGAATTTATTGTTGAAATGATAGATGTTAGATGGTAGGTGATACAAATTGGTTAAACTAGAAATTTAGCTAAAAGTTAAAGGAGACATCTGCTAAAGTTTTCATCTAATCACTATTTTCAGATTTTAACACTATTATTTAAATGAGTTTGTAATCCTTCTGAAGTTAATATTATAAATGATACTATTCATCAGTAGAACTTGATCAGTTAACATTAAATATTTACCAACATATGAAATATTTGCCAACAAATTCTCTGGTGCAACAGAGAAATATTTCTCTTTAAATTTCATTCTGGTGCCTCCAAATGAATAAATTCAATTGCTAATTTTCCTATTGTTCCTATCAATGCCTTAGAATTTCTATGAAGATTTTTCTTGTAATAAATCCAATTTGCTGAAAGATAATCATAGAATACTGTGCTAATTTCAAAAACAACTTTGTTGAAAAAAATAGATTATGCTTAACACTGTTGATTTCTACCACAAGGTCAGATAACTAAGAGATGTCATTAAACATTATTTTTTCACAAGAGTCTTTTATCTTCAAAGATGATGCCACTCTACCTAGATACAGCAAAACACTCTAACTATAATCATGAACAAAGAAGAACACTAAAATTGTTTGCAAAATGGGTTTGGAAATGTTCAGAAAACAATTTTCCCTGTCACTTCATAAGTGTTTCTCACTTTACAACCTTAAGGAACCAATGTTAAGATTTTTTCTGAAAACTTTCAGGCATATAATGTAACATAATCTTGAATATATTTTAAGGACCTGTGAGTATCTAAATGTTTTCACTTAAAGTATTCTAGCTATACTTTCATTATTTGCAGTTGGATCTTAGTCATCTTGATTATACAACTTCACCAATGTTTGAAAAATGGAAGTAGAAATGGAAAGAAAGTCATGCAAAAATCTACTACTAAGAATTAATTTACTTAAACTAAAGTGTTTATCATAACAGAATTTTCTTTGAAGAGATGGGCTTATATGTTCACTAATATACTCTGATTAATTCTATCTCAATATTCCTGAAGGTCCACACTGTATAATAAACTAAAACCTCATTCACTGATTTTAAAAATAAGAACAATAATATATAATTTCTATTATTACTCTTTTACTTTGCTATTGTCTAAACATGTTCATTTAGGCTGTGAAAACATCAACAATTGCTTGAAAAAATACTCTCAACCCTTGTATGTCTTTGTCATTACATAGAAAGTAATGTCATGTGACTATAATTTTATTTCTTACTTCTCTGCCCATATATATATTTTAATTCCTTTGCGGATCTTATTATATTAGCTAAAACCTTCAATAAATGTTGAATGTGGGCAGAGAGAGTAACCAAATATTTCTAGATATTTCAATTTAGATTCCATGTTTCATTATTAAAAGTTTTCCATGTTTAGTAGCCCTAAAAATTCTAGATTTGGCTTCTCATTGATGAGATTTTTTTCAGTTGTATCATATGTAATGTGTTTCTCTTCCTTTTGTTCCTTTTTAAATAGTATATAAAAATGGTGTGGGTTAAAATCAATGCTATCTTAGTATTAATATAATGAATTTGGAAATTAATCGGTTTCAAAATTAAATCTGCTCATAAGATAGTTGAAGAGTGACAAAAACACACTTTCTTTGTTCAGAAACTATGTTAAGCCCAACAACCATGGAATTTAAACTGCTATTTCATTTAATATGTAAATCTTCTTCTGGCCTCCAATGTTTTAGTCTGATTGTCTCCACATATAACCACTCCTGTAATTTTCTTTTGCTTATCCAAATTATGGTAATATATTTGCATCAAACCCCCAATTGCTAGAAGAATCTTCCCCTTTTTCATGTTGTTCATCACCTTTATTATATACAGGCAAGAAGTAACTTTATGTTTTCTAACACACAGTAGAAAAATTCTGTGTACATAGCATATATTCAAACCTACTTGATACATTTGCTCATTGGTGAATGTGAATACGCTAAAATCACGTCTCTCCCAATTCATAAATAACCTATGACCTTGCTTATGGAGTCCTCTGTGCTTATAAGAACTAAACAACCAAGATAGAGAGAAAATTGTTATTTTGATTTGGATAACCTCTTTAACCCTCTATTCTCCTAACATTCTAGATATATCTATTTCAATATATTTCACGTGTGTTTCGTTTTCTATAAATTTTATTTTATAATTTATATATATGTATAAATATGTGTATTATAGTTTCATGAAACATGTCATTATTACATTTTCTTGAACCTAGAGACAATAAAATAATGAAACACAAAAGATATTCAATAAGTGTTTAATAAATGGATGGATACAGAAACAGATGGATAATAGAATTGATGAGATAATTATTCTTCATTATAATGTATAAAAACTGTCTAGAATCCAACCACCCAAACTTTTTTAGAAATAGATAGTATAAAGTAACTCATACCTTGACTCTCTCAAAAATCATATCCTTAAAAAAAATCTTTAGGGAAGTATTAGAAAATTTTGATATTTTATTCATATTTAAAGAATAATTTTTAATATTTATTCTTGTATACTGATGATACTTGGTTTATAAATAATTTATGATGATTTCCTTAAAGATTATTTTTAATTTATTTATGCATACAATAATGGGGTGTAGGCCACAGTTATGGTTGGGGGTAGAGGATTCACCAGAGATAGAGTGGGGAGCAGAACACACAGATCTACTAAAATACACTGCTGAGGGCAACAGTGGGGGAGACAAGAGAGGTCTGCTGCACCATGTGGGTCAGCTTCCTGTCTGGGGATTGAACTCATGCTGCAGTGCCTGGTGATATCTTGATAGCATTGAGACTTTAACCCCTGCACCAGCAGGAGGTCCAATTTATGACTATTTTAAGTGAAATCTTTATCAATCATAAAATTAGTTAACATAGCTGACTTTCGTTTTAAGATGGGAAAATTGACTCTTACGGGCATTAAGTAACTTGCACACATTTACATAGCGAGGTTATAGTTCTGTTACTTCTACCCAGAATATATGATTTTAACTGTCTCTTCCCTTTTTCAAACTATACATTTAGTAGTAATAACCTCTTTTAATATTTAAAATATACCCTAATGATTTGAAAAAACCTCATTTGGTTAATTTAGGGACTTAGAAATTTGAATTCAAAATTTATTCCTAATTTTTAAATGAAATAAAATGCCCTATAATTGAAAATACCAAAATCATATATTATTCTTTATCCTGAACTTTCTAATCATTGCTTTTAACTTTCCCTTTCCTTCTGAGCATTTAGTTGGTAATCAATAATTATTGAATCTATTAATGCTACTTGCAAAAATAATTAAATCATGTAAATATCCAATTTTAGAAAGTTCTTAGTTAAAACTGAGGACAAATTATTATTCCTCATGCAAACTATCCTTGTCATTCAAGATCACTTATTCTGTTATTACCTTTAAGTAGAGTCATTAATGAATTAATGTACCAAGTGAATCCTAGATATCTGGAATGAAAACTACTTGTACTAATCAATATTTTGTGAAACTAGAAAGAAAATTTCATAATCAATCATCATTAAATATAGCTACATCCCTAAGAAATCAGAAATAATGAAACTTTCTCAGATTATAATATTGAACTTATTCACAAGATAATACAAGTGAATTGTTTTTTAAGGGAGACTGTGAATGCAATTGCCCACAATCACAAATTATACAGCAGAGTTTCCCATCTTTTGGGAAATTGCAGGGGTCAGCGCATCCAGAGTCCAATTGGGGAGCCTCCCCCTGGGAAAACCATATTCTTGATGACAGTTTCTCCCCTGTCAAGTAAGTATATAAGTGATGAATTCTGAATGTGCTCATAAGGGGAGCACATTCAGAAAGAAGCCACTTAGGGAAGTCCGTTAGTAGGGATACAGAGACTGGCTCTTTTTAGATGTTAAACAGTAAAAGAATGGACTTACATTTGTTCCAACAGTCCATTTTCCAAAGATAGCATTTCACTCAAATATGTTTTTTAAATGATAGAAATTTGAGTTTCATAAAAGATATGAAATATTGAAAGTAAGTGGGTGCAAATAATGGCAATGATAGTGAGGTGGAAATTTATATTGAAATCATAATTGTGCTAAATTCCAGAATATTTCAGTATTGATAGCAGAGTTATGAAAAAGTATATACATAGAAACAAGATGAACAGAACTAGCAAATAGAAGTATATATTTACCTAATGTTTTTATTAGTAGAAGAAGGAAAAGTTGGGAACAAATATACTCCCTTTGTCTGAGACATAGTTGAGTATTTATAGAGCAACATTTTAAACTGCTCTTGTGCTTTTGACTATATATAGAACAACAAATTAATGATTCAGCTAGAAAATCTTCCCTCACACAGGAATATGTTTTGTTTGAAATATGATGGGATTCACTCTTAAAACATAGTACCAGTCTTAGAGTTTAACAGATGTGGACACCATTCTAGGTAGAGTGAGATTGGAATGATTCAGGGAAAATATGAGAAAGTGTGCAACTACAGGGATACTAGAATTAAGGAAAGAGTTTAAGTAATATATGTTCATAATAATATAATAATCCATACAGAGGGAAGGAATTAACTCAAGTAGAGATAGAAAGAGTTGGCATAAAAGGCCTAAAATCAGAATTTGAGTTATATAGTCATGTGTTTTGTAACACATGTTACTTATCTCATTTATAACATAAAGATGACATTTGTGTCATTTGACTATTATATTAATTGACACAATCAATGTAAAATACTGAGCAGAGTGCCAAGTGTACAAACTTCAAGAAGTCATTGTCATAATTCTGCAAAGAATAGGAATGCAGCAAAGTATTGATGCTGACTAATTTAGCAAATTGTTTATAGATTCTTTTAATAGATTTTTATACATAAAACTAATTTTGCTGCACTTTAGAGTTGTTATCCATGTACCTGTTGAGTATTTATTTAAATAAAATGTGTGTGTGTAGGGGTGTGTGTGTATAAGTGAGAATATACATGATTTCTGATGTTTAGAATGGAAGGGAAAGCCAGTATTTATTCTTCCTTCAACACTGGACATACCTCTTCAGTTCAGGTGATAAATGTTTGAAGCAGGGATGGTGCCAGTAAATTTAAAATCCACGTTTGTAGGCCTCCCCAGTGGCCCAGCGGGTTGAGCACAGTGCTGTGAAGCTGTCCTTAGACTATGCAGCACGGATTCAATTCTCAGCTGGCCAGGGAAATACCCACATGGCGAGGTGGACCTCTCCTGTCTCGCCCGCTGCTTCCCTTAGCAGTGCTTTTGGTCTGTCTGCCTGTTCTGCTCCCCACTCTGTCTATGGTAAATCCTCTCACCCTCCCGCGCCTCTGGCCTGTGCCCCAGTTCTTGTATAAATAAAAAAAAAAATCTTAAAAAATATAAAATGAGCAAGTACTTAAAAAAAAAAAAAAAAGAACATGTTCCTAGAATATTTCAAAAAGGATTTCAGTAAAGGGTATTTTTGAGGGGGAATAAATGAAGTCTGATATGGCTCATGATTAAAGAGAAAAAGGAAAACGATTTTATAGGAGTCCATTCAAAGCAGACCAAATCAAATAAGATTCTATCTGCCAAGTAAGGATTTTGTGTTTTAGCTTAAAATGAAAGGTTATTAGACAATTTTATGCAAGGGAATAACTTAAGTAGATGAAGATAATTAGGAAGTGTTTCTTCCTCTTTTACTGTTTGGAAGAATTTAAGGTTTGGCATTAATTCTTATTTAAATGTTTTGTAGAAACCATCCTTTTCCAGACTTTTCATTATTTTTTTGATTTACTTTTGATTATTGATTCAAACTGTATTTATTACAGGTCTATTCAAATTTTCTATTTTCCTTCAGTTATTGTTGGTAATTTGTGTGTTTCTGTGTATTTTTTATTTCATCTAGGTTATATAATTTGTTGACAAATGGTTGTACAGACAATTTTCTTATAATCTTTGTTATTTTTGACACATCAGTAGTTATACTTCCACTTTAATTTCTGACATTTGGTTGTGTCTTATTTCTTTTTTTTCTTGGTCTAACTAAAGTTTGTATATTTTTGTTAATCACTCACCAAATGACTTCAGAGAACCAACTGTTGGCTTCATTCATCCACTTCTTTTGTACTTGGTATTTCACTTATCACTAGTATTTGCTATTCCCTCCATTCTCCTGTCTTTGGATTCTTTGAACTTTTCTAAATTTCTTAAAGTATAAAGTTAGTTTCATTCACTTGAGATCTTCCCTCCTAATATAGTGTTTTAAATTAAAAATCAATGTCAATTTGCTTTTGAGCACTACTGTCATTCAATTATATAATTTTCATATATTCAGATTTCACTAATTCATCACAAAGCATTTTCTAATTTCCCTTATGACATCCTCTTTGAACAATTGGCTGCTACGTTATTTTAGAGTATTTTGTTCAATTTCCACATATTCATGAAGCTATTTTCATTGTTATTAATTTCTAGTACCATTATATTGTAGTTAGAGAAGTTACTTTGTATGATTTTTATTTGTTTCTTACTTGTTGAGATTTGTTATTTATTTATTTTTTAAGATTTATTTATTTATGTATACAAGAACTGGGGTACAGGCCAGAGGTGCGAATGGGGGTGGGTGAGAGGATTCACCAGAGACAGAGCAGGGAACAGAACAGGCAGACTGACTGAAATACACTGCTGAGGGGAGCAGCGGGCAAGTCAGCAAAGGTCTGCTGCCCCATGTGGGTAGCTCCCTGGCGGGCTAGGGATCAAACTCATGTGGCAGAAGCTGTGGACAGCCTCAGAGTGCTGCGCTCAACCCCTTGCGCCACCAGGGAGGCCCTGAGATTTGTTATTTTTTTTCCTAACGTATGCTCAGTTATATTCACTTGAGAAGAGTATCTATTCTGATCATTTTTTTTAAGCAGAGTGTCACATCTGTCAGATATGGTGGAATTACAATGGTAATTAAGTCATCTATTCATACCAAAAGAATACTTTTTTAATGATCATTTCCTCTACACATACCCCAACACACATAACTCTATTTTTTTGGCAATAATTATGAAATGAAATGAATAAAAATAATTGCCCAAAGTAAAAAAACATAACATTACTGAACTTTGTGTAATACGTATGCTAAGAAAAAAAGTCAAAATAAAAATAGGTATAACAGAAAAAAAGCACTTCAGTTCCTAAATCTTGCCAGATGACTTGGCTTTGCCTCTAGATATGAATAAATTGATAAAAAAAAAAGATACACTGAAATCAAGTCAGTGATTACTTGACCTTTTTTTTTTTTTGGATAAAGTATTCTTCATGGAGCAGGAAAATTAGCATTACCTGAAATGCCAGATAAAAATACAGCATTCCATATTCCATTCCAGACTCATTTTATCAGATTATACATTTGCTCAGGTAATTGGTATGTATGTGAAGACTGAGAAGCCCTACATAGTCTAGTGGTTTTCAGGCATGACTGTAGTTTAGAATAATTGGATATGATCTTTTAAAAAAAACTGCTCATGCCAGTATTTATTCTAGAGACTCTGATATCTGGCTAGGATGGTTCTTTAAGCTTTTTTTTTTTTTTTTAAAGATTCATTTATTTATGCATACAAAAACTGGGGTACAGGCCAGAGTTATGGGGGTGGAGAGGAGTCACCAGAGACAGAGCGGGCAACGAACAGGAAGACAGACATAGCAGAGGGGAGCAGGGGGCAAGACAGGAGAGGTCTGCTGAAGCATATGGGTAGCTCCCTGGCCTGCCAGAGATCAAACTCATGCTGTAGAGGGTGTGGATAGCTTCACAGTGTTGTGCTTAACCCCTTGTGCCACCAGGGAGGCCCTCTTTCTTTCTTTCTTTCTTTCTTTCTTTCTTTCTTTCTTTCTTTCTTTCTTTCTTTCTTTCTTTCTTTCTTTCTTTCTTTCTTTCTTTCTTTCTTTCTTTCTTTCTTTCTTTCTTTCTTTCTTTCTTTTTTTAAAGATTTATTTATTTATACAAGCACTGGGTACAGTCAGAAGCGCGGGGTGGGGGGGGGTGAGAGAATTCACCAGAGCCAGAGCGGGGAGCAGAGCAGGCAGACTGACGAAATACAATACTGAGGGGAGCAGCTGGTGGCAGGAGAGGTCTGCGCGCCATGTGGGACCCTCGCTGGCGCCAGGGATTGAACCGGTGCTGTAGAGGCTGAGGGCAGCTTTGCAGCCCAGCGCTCAACCACTGCGCCACCAGGGGAGGCCCCAGGGAGGCCCTCTTTAAGCTTTTTTTTTAATGCTTCCTAAGTGATTTTAGTTCTAACCAGCAATAAAAATAATTCTTTTATTGTGTATCCTTAATTTGAGACCTACAAACTCCTTGCATTTCAATTTCAGTATATTTTTTTCTGTTATACTATGTATTTTGGTTTTTGCATTGGAAAAAATCATTCTTTAAAAATTCTTAAGATTCACCAGAATCCATGATAAGGAAAAGATTTAAGAATCTATACAAAGGTTGTTTTCCTGTCTTTATTCTAAAGGCCAAATATCATAGACATCCACAAAGCAGTCAAAGCACAAGTAACATACGACAATCTTCTGAATTCAAAATGCTTAACTGCTTATCAAAGTTTCTCTCTTTTTTCTTTTTTGGTTCTGCTTATGCTTATCAATGAAAATCTATTTCTCTTCATTCTCAATCGATTATTTATAAAGTATTCATCCAATCAACTTAGGTTACGTCCATTTATGATTGGATATCTGGAATACATTTTTCCTTTCATCCTTATACACATAGTTAGATTTTCGTTAGGGCACCAGATCCCCTCTCATGTAGCCCAAAAGTAT